TGACCGATTCGCACAAGTACACATGTACTAGAGATGATATGTCACTCAAAGAACCAAACGCGATGGGATCTATGGGAGAACAACACACCAGTAGTGTGCCGAATGAGCCCATACAAACTGTAGAAGATGATAGTGACCAGACACCTTACACTGTACGTCGCAGATCAGATACGGGACTAACTACACGGACGATGAATAAAATGTTAAACCCTTCACCAAACACACATCGAAAAATCGATTAGTCGCCGGCCACTCACTGGTCGGCGAAACTTCACATATGGGTTGCAGAACCTCCGAAACATTGCTTAAATCTGCGAAACTTTCATGTATGTACACTAACGCCCAAGGGCTCCTCAGTAAAATTACCGAACTTCGACTACGTCAGGTTGCGAATGCGTGGGACCTAATTTCTATTACCGAAACTTGGTTACACCAAGAGGTGACTGATGCTGAGGTTGAGATAGCCGGAATGTCACTCATAAGGAACGACCGCCCCAACAGAGGAGGTGGGGTCCTACTCTACTACCGCAGCGATCTACAATGTACAATAGTTGATAATCTGGAAGCACACGTTACTGACTCACTCTGGTGCCGTCTCCGACTGAGATACAACGACACGTGTCTACTAGCTGTCATTTACCGCCCCCCAACGTCCACTCCGGAAATGGATTCCTGCTTGGTCCGTGGCCTCAACAGAGTAACACGCACTAGGTATAGCCACATTCTCATCTCCGGGGACTTCAATCTACACAATCTGGAGGTTTCGGCATCGCCCAGTGGGCAGTTCAAAACAGACTTGCAGGAACTGATCGCTGATACTCCTTTGTACAATCATGTCACCACGCCCACTGGATTCAGGACAGCAAACAAACCGTCCATACTGGACCTTGTGCTCACGAATGAAGAGCTCATGGTTGACAAGTTATTAATGGATAGCCCATTAGGTCTCAGTGACCATGCAGTAATAACTTTTGACTATGTGTGTTATGCAGAGTATCATTCTGAACACTCGGAACTAACTCATACAATCACACGCTACCACGTATTGAAAGAACTCGCCGACGCAACTGCTTGGGAACTCTCAAACAAAAGTCCCCTTGACAACGTTTGGGCAGAGTTCGTTAATAAACTCAGCGACGTCGTCAACAGAGCATCAGAGACCAAACCCCTTCGTCCCGCCAAAATGCTTTCAATTATAAGGAGTAGGACACGAAAATGCCTGGCGATAAGGGATGCAGCATGGCATGCCTACAAGATTAACCCCGACTCAGAGAATTGGGAAAATTTCCTGACCCATCGCAACCATTGCACTGCACTTGTCCGTGAGGACAAAGTAACTTATCAACAGAGCCTAGCCAAAAAGTTCATGGCAAACAACAAACTGCTATATAGGCATGTCAATAAGCTTCGTAAATTGAAGCATGGAATCCCCCCACTTTTCACGACAGGCGGTAGAGTACAAAGCGCCGAAGAAGCAGCTAATGCCCTGCGACTTCAATACGCCCCAATCTTCGAACTCGCAACATCTACCTGTCCCATAATATCAAGCACATTACCGACACCTTTGTTTACAAAAGTTATTTTCAACCCATCAATTGTGCTAAGGAAGTTACTCTCACTGCATGAGCATAGTTCTCCGGGAGCAGACAACATCCGCCCGAAGGCACTGAAGGCTGTGGCCACCAAGCTAGCTGAACCACTGTCACAGTTCTTTCAAAGGTGCTTTGATGAACAACAAGTCCCCACTATGTGGAAGTGTGGCATTATCACCCCTATTTTTAAAGGCGGTAGCCGTTCCGATCCTGCAAACTATCGTCCAGTGACTCTCCTCCCTGTGCTCGCGAAGGTGATGGAAGCAGTCGTCGCTGACACTTTAATGGACTACCTAGAAAAATGCAACATTTTGGTACCGGAACAGCATGGCTTCCGTCAACACCGGTCATGCACTACCAACCTACTTATTGCACGAGGTAGTTGGACGGAAGTGGCCGATGATGGGGTCGGAGTCGACGTCATCTATCTGGACTTCTCCAAAGCTTTCGACCGCCTTGATCACCGCATCCTACTTCAAAGACTACAGAGTTACGGAATCGGTGATCCTGTACTTGGTTGGATTGGCAACTTCCTTTACCAACGAAAGCTTCAAGTACGTGTTAGGGGATCACTTTCTAACACAATTGAGGTGGAATGTGGTGTCCCACAAGGCTCAGTGCTGGGACCGCGTTTATTCCTGGTGTTTATCAACGACCTGGCAAGGGTCATCTCCTCAAATTTCCTGCTTTTCGCCGATGATGTCAAGATATGGCGGGCGATTGGTAACAAGTCCGATCAGGATCTGCTCCAACATGACCTAGATTGCATTTACGAATGGTCAAAGAGGAACATGCTTCAATTGAACATAGCTAAGTGCAAAGTGATGCATCTGCGTCACCAGCCGGTGAGCACTTACAAGATTGGAGACCACATCTTGGCGAAGGTTTCTCAGGAGCGTGACCTGGGTGTATTGGTGCAGGAAGATCTCGGGTGTTCAAAACAAGCAGAGAAGGCGACGAGAACCGGCAATCAACACTTCGGCCTTCTTCGCAGAGCCTTCGGTCGGTTTGAACCCACAATATTTCCCCAAATGCTTAACGCCTACGTGCGACCTCACGTGGAATATGCTATTCAGGTGTGGCAGCCGTGGCAGAAACAGGATCTCGTTGCTCTCGAGACTCCTCAACGACGGGCAACCAAGAATGTCAGGCGCCTCTTTCATCTCCCCTATCAGCTTAGACTGAAATCTCTAAGAATGTACAGCAGTCGATATCGGCTTTTGCGGGGGGATCTCATAATGGTTTACCAGATTCTGAAGAACCCAAACCACATTTGTCGTCCACTGCTGGAATTGAACCACAACACTAAACTAAGAGGTCACCCTCTGAAACTGACAATTCAGTATAGCCGGCTTGAATGCCGTAGAAATTTCTTTTCTCTCCGCGTGTGCCAGCCTTGGAACGCCCTCCCTAATTATGTCGTCTCTGCTCCCAATCTGGCGATATTTAAAAAACGTGTTGACGATGCATTGTCTCACTTACATTTCATTTTATGATTTGTTAGCCAGGGGCTACAAAACGCAATCAAACGATGTCTTGCCAAACGCCTAACCAATGGATTTATAGATTTATATGTTTAATACGCGAACATCTCCGCTATTCCGCATAAGTCTATGGTGAGTCCACCACAACGCTTTTCCCTTTATCATGCAATTGATTTTCACAATAATTTTCCATCCTACGGGACTTGTTAAGCAACGCTTTTTTACCCGTAATAAACCATTGTTCCATTGTTTGGATTTTCTGCCTTCCGTAATTTGAACCTGTAATAATTATAACTTTGGGTGCTCATAACAATTGGAAATTACTACCTATCATATTAGCTAGTCGTTTCGTCCCAACTTAGTGGGTCTTGGCTGTCTGTCGGACTACATATCTTCCCTCCTGTGAATCGCATTCTGACTAACGTGAAGTTGCGCTAAGGCTCTTGAATTGCTTGATGGCGGTTGTGTTACTCTGATTGCAGATATTCCAGGATGCACCGAAAAAGGCGCTTCTATCTGATTGTCGGGTTTTGGTATACCCTCCGAATGTCATATATTGTGACATGCATTCTCAATTGCGGCCTCGATTGAGCTGAAGTCAGCCTGTGCCATCCTGATCACTGGAACCGTATCCAAAGTGAAGGGTTGCGATGTTGCTCTCGCCCATCCATGTACTCCACAACGCGTTTCGTCCTCGTCTGTGCTCATTAGGTAGAGAGCGTGAACTGGGAGTGGAACTCTGAACGTAGTGGTTGGCGGCTATCACCATGATCAATAGACCAAGGAGCTCCGCCTTTCGACAAATGCCTTCTCTGTACTCCTTGGTTCAGGCGCTTCATCGTTCACTACTCGCGAGCCGCTTTTCGGTCGATCTGTGGGGCTTGCGTTTTGCCGCCCGATCTCGTTCATGATGCCCGTATCTGTTTCTTTCCTCACTCGTCCTTGTGGCTTTTCAATCTTCCACGTGATCGTTACTTTTTGCGTCACTACAATAAGACTGTTTGAGTGAAAACACTAGATAGCAAACAACACTTGCTTTCCTCGGTCAAGTTCTTTTTAGTCTGATTACTTACGTTGGTTCAAAACTGTACATTTGAGTACCCATTTAAACAATGATACTAAAGTTGTTAGATAAATGTTATGTCTAACCGGAGCCAGAATCCTGTGAGTACTGTAAATATTGTTGTGAAGATATGCTCTTTAGCTGTCCACGCAACTAATTCCCGAAGTATAAAGTAGCAATGGAACCGATTGCAGTGAAAAGAACATCGCTATTTACCCCCCCCCCCCTAAAATCTAAGCCTTCTCGGCCAGTTAGTAAGTGAAGACTTGCAAGTGAGGAAAATAATTAGATTTAGGAAATTTTTGTGGAAAGGTTTCGATCGGGAAGCAAATGTAGTGTAAAGATCGCTAAGGCTATTGCAAATAATCCCCTTATAATGTTTCTAACGCCAACCATCACATCGTAAGATTGCTTTGTTTGCATAGTGCCAAAGTCCACTCCGTAGATGATCAACCGAGTCGATTTTATTCATGTCCGAGTCCGATTTAGTCAGCTAATACCCGATTTCTACAGACAAAACTATTTAAATACTCGTGTTCATTAACATGGCTGAAATGGACCATAACGAGTACGAACACGTCTAAACACACACACAGGCATCTTCAGCCTGCTAACGGTACCTGAATTACTGGCATAGGAAATGAGCCGTAACCAGGACCATAATAACTCCAGGTGACTGTTACTTTTATTGTCGCTGTTAAAATAGGCAATAACATACTCCCGTGCGCTCGTGCTCACATACTGTATCCCATAACAAGTGCTAGTCTAGGAACTTAGCCCCACAGACTTCACAATAACTACACGAATGCTCAAGTGCGTCAGCCAAGTACCGAGTCTCTCTTCTGTTCCACCCCACTGCAGTGTGAATACCCAACAACAGAATCGCGCCCCAGCACCTATTATTCCTTCCTTCGGCTATGATTATTCCGTGCACGCAAAAATTCGCCGCAATTCGGATCACTCAATCCCTCCCAGGACTCCGGCTGATTCATCTAAGGTGGTTTCCCAAGCTACCTCGCATACTGACCTTGGGGCCAGTATCTCCACAGCCACCAGTCGAAGCTTTCCAACTGGACAAATATCCAGTTTTGCCATACGACGAAAGGAGTTTACCGCAGCACAGTCTCTGGCTGATAACAGACCCAAGTCTAGTGCATCAGGTACGGACCAGTTGACCAGGCCCGAGTCGATGTATTTTCCCTATACCAGTGCTACTGCGTGCAAGCCAGGTAAGTAAATTTGGTGAAAATATGCTTCATCACTCCTTCAAGTGAGTGGTATGTTACTCTAAAGGTGTTAATTTACTGGTCAGACAAAGCAATACGGTTTCACACTTTTGCTACTTAGCATACAGCCCGGTCAAAATGTAGCATTGTCGGGCATTTCACCTTAAGTGGTGTTCGTCCTAATACTGTGAACTTAAGCCGTCTGTGCAAACCGCGTTATTTTGTATTCGTCGCAGCCTAGGTACCTGTATTCCACCAGTAACCCAAGTGCATCATCTCACCAGGGTCAATAAGCGATCGACTGCCGGTAGGTGTCTGTATCAAAGAATATTGGCCCGTTGGTATCGCGAGAATTGATGCAATAGACTTAAAAACGGATACCGTTGTTATCACCGCTACCATTTATTACATTTGTACCTAGAGCCGTCAATTCAGGTACAGGTTGATCTATAGTTTGAAAATATTTATGATTAGACCCGCTGTGTGGCGAAGTATTCATCTTCAGGTTGGACGAGGAACTCTCATAAACCCGTTATTGCTAATGCTCGCCGAATATCACGGTGTGGACTTCCGGATTTATGTTGGATAAAGGTATCAACGACCTGTGGAATATAAGCCGAGGGTAATTAAAAACAGTAACACAAATAAAAAATTACAGCGCACGCGTAGGTATTCTTCGCTTGATGGGCGATTACTGTTTGAAGAGACCCGACAAGAATATCAGCCAAATGCGCAGACAAAAATTCTCCCAAAGCACAGTTTCGGTAATTAGAGGGTCACTGTTTCACTACACGTTATGGGCTTGGATTCCGATGCGCATTCTCAACGTGGACCGCGATTCACATTGCATCTTGGTCACTGCGAACACTGGGACAGTATCCGAAGTAGATGGAAATTGGGTGTCGCCCACCCCCAAACGTCGCACAACCAAGACTCGTTTTGAAGTAGTTTCATCTCATCAAGTGGAGATGGGATTCCTCGAAGTCGCGACGATTGGAATAGTAGCCGAAACCTCTACTCCTTGGCTACCGGGTCACGGCGGGCAACGCTTGACACACCGGATGAGTACCTAGGCTTACTATATATTCTCACAATAAAGCTGATCATATGTTAGATCTATACTATGTCTATTGTGGTACGCTTTTATAACTATAGTGTATGATTCGGTGCAGGGTGCAGTTTACGGGTACAATTTAGTTCAATCGGCGCATCTGGGAAGATTCGGTACTACTTTCGAAGGAACGAACCCGACCTATTAATCAACAGTTCTTCCTGATTGCCAAGTGCACAATCCGGCTGTGCTTTTAGTTAAATTTTTCACAATGAACTCAAACCAGAGGCATTTTCAGACTTCTGCAAGTTAAAACCTAAGGCTGCAGAATTCCTGTTGTATGACCTGGGTGAAATACTATGGTTCAAATAATGTTAATAACAACTTGGAGTGCGCAGCTGCGTACTCAGTATGATACTCAAATTAGCACAAATGTTAATTCTCCTACCTCAATTTCATTTGGGGTGCTGGTGAGCATCTGACGCTTTTTGGTCAAAGTAAGTTAAGCAAATCGTAAAGTGATTCATTGTGTCGGCTTTAAGAAATGGACGTCGTGGGTGCAGAAAAGACAAAACTCGTAAGCTGATAAATTCGGAGGAACAATATTCGATGGTATTTCAACTGGCTATATCACACGGCCAGCTTCAGCTGGTAGCCACGATTGTGGATGTTATTGAAAACTGGTGAAAGGTGGGGTGAACGCGACTGGATATTTGTGAAGTCTGCGAAGTCAAAACAATGTCACCGCATAGAAGAAGATACCTTCCACGGTGACTTTCTAGATTTTCCATTCTAAGTTTGTGTGGGAGATAGAGCCAGCATGTTACATTCGTAGTTACTCATTGCTGAGGACTACAAGTACAGTGAGAACACGTTCCTGCCAGGTTGCCAGAGATTGAGCAGCTGCGGGAAGACAAAAGGACCTGACCGCCTGAAGGAACTTTGCAAGAGAATAAACTGGTAGTTACCGGTTTTCCTCACCCCAAGAACTTGTTCCAGTGAGGCAGTCTACAAGATATGGGTTCCCAGCATACGGGTGCTATTTGGCTAATAGCTACATGATCCGCTTTATATTTATTTGTGTTAAACGGAATTAGATCAGTCTTTTGTCATTCATGCCCATTGTAACAAATCCTGCTCTTAATGACTACCGATTGCCCGCAATATTTTATTATCCAAGGGTTAGAGGGAATTAAACGAAAGACGTCGTTAATGAAAACTAAGAATGAGTGCAGCTCTAGCGCTGATCCTAGTAGAATAACACGTTCCAACTCAACAAGATCAGATAATAAACCCGAAACTCAACATTGCGGCCTCCAAAGACAGTGTTCTTTATCGCGTAAGTTTGCGGGTTGCTACGAAGCATAAGGTGGTCTACGAGATCGCAAGCTTTGAAGGGATACAGACGTGTGATATCAGTTCCAGTCACACTATCCTTTGTTTCCGTCCAATACTCCGCAAACTCAGCAGGTTGGTAGTGCATAACGGGTACTAAGGGAAGCTGCGTGCTGCGGCAGTATGATGTTACATCTTCCTAAATATACCATTGGCATTTCAGCAGTGATCGCTTTTGTCATCTGCGGAAACTTCAACCACTTTTGAGAACACACAGAGGATAAACACTGGGTGAGGGGTTGCCAGTTCTGAACTGTTACAACCCATAAAAAGGAGAACAATAGCACATTGCTTTCATATTTTGGGCACCTGTTGTTCATCCAAGCATCTTTCAAGGAATCACTAAGATGATGCAGCTAGTTTCGCATCGGCCACTTTCGGTGCCTTCAAGTGGGTTTGCTTAACTATGGCTGCGTAGCAAAAGCAGTTTCCTCAATGTAGTCGCTGAACTAAAGGTGTGTGTTGGGAGAGGGGGGTAAAACCCGGTGCCTGGAGGTAGGGGCAGGTATGTGACACACACAGGTGGGACGACAGACAGCTGGAGCATATCACAGCCGTAGAGTTTTGGTTACATCCTCAATGTGTTGGGTCCGCCCGTCTCTTGAAGTGGGTAGTAAGATGCCACTTTCCTTCCCGAAGACTGGTTGCATGATTGTACAAGGGTTATTTGCACAAGATCTCGTTAGGCGCTGTTGGTGTGTGATTTGTCCTTACAGACAAGTGTGGTGTAGGACTAGTGTTGGCTCTGTACGTACGCTGCGCTTTGTCTCTTATTTCCAAAGTATTTCAAGTAGTGCTCTTGAAGAGGGATGGTACTGTTGTAGAACGGGCCAGTTTAATATTTGACCCATATGCGATCAGATTACTGAACTTGCCAACAGACTTCATCCAGATACTATCGAGGTAACTGTCATCCGACAAGCACTATGTAATATCGCCAACTAATTCTGTTGACGTCACCAGCTCACTTTGTTCCTGCGGATGTTTGGCGTAAAGCATGAAGTCTCCACTAGGCCCTAGCAGACTGTTATTAGTTTATCCATCATGGTCTTTATTTGTAAGCACCCATTAGTGCACTGATGGTTTACTTGGCGCTCTGGTTCAAGCAGATGAGTTTACATGCCTACACGGTGGAATGCTTACAATAAACTCCCGCAGGTTGGTCTTGAAATTCTATCTGCGGGATATTTGTACTTCTAGGTTTGGGCCAATGAAGTCACTTGAAATGACACCACGGCTGTGTCTTGGTGGCAAGAACCTTCTCAAAACGAATTTCTAGGGAGTGCCCATTTCTGGTACGGGCAAATGGGGGGCGATAGATGACCATCACAAGGGATGGGTCTTTGATCCCTACTCATATTGAGTCTGTGACCGGTGGCATCGAGCCATCCACCAGATACCACTACAGCTCACTGCGGTAAAAGAGAAATAAATCCCTAGCTTGCTGTCTCGAGCACTTTCAAAAAGCAGCATACTCTCATGGCGTCTTCGACGTCGGTAATTTCTGTGGTCAATCTCCTTTCAGACATGGAGATGACGTACCAGAAATAGGGTGTCTGACGTAATCGAGCTTCAACACGGTTGTCAAGGTTGCTGCGCATTGGGTTACTTGAAGTAAAGTTCTACCATCTCCGTGGTTTTCAGGGGATGAGTGTTTTGGTGTGGTGTTGCACTGACCGGTAAAGAGTCGGCCAATAGTCGTGTTTTACGAAAAAAGGGGACGGATGAAGTTACAATGAGTAGTGAAAGGTAAGGCTAGGTAAAATCCTCGGACGGGATTCGTCACAGCCACGCTCAGTCAAGTAGTAGCATAGCTTCTAGTGATATTGGACGATGGCAGTTGACGGTTCCGACCCTGTTCCCTTGCATGCTGGTAACGCATAAGGCGGTGGAAAATGAGTACATGCGTTACATCCAGTTAGTTACTTGTTCATGGCAACTGCGCTCCTCGTCAGTGATTCAGCGGTATTGTCCAAAGACTCGTAAAACTACTGGTGTGGTTTCTGGATCCTAATGGAATAGAAGAAATGCATTGTTGTTGATTAATGGGAAGAGGGGATAGTAGGGCAATGCGTTTCCGGATGCGCAACGGTTGCCAGATCTAGCCATTATAACAAAGCACTATCGAGAATGAGTTTGTGCCACGTCCAATGATTCCGCAGTTTCCACCTAGATCCACTGTACGGATAACGTATGGAATGTAGTTATTAGGACTGACGGCTCATTCATTAACGTCGTCTGAGAGGCCTCCGGCCATTGATTAGAATATATTTCCTAGTTAATCTGCTTGCAGAACACTGCCCCGATACGGAGCACAAAAGTAATATACTATTAAGCACATATCTGCATTACAATATTCTTGCTGACAAATGTCTAGATTGAAGTAAAACATTTGCAGCTCATGAGTCACATCCTTCCTAGCTGGCAAGCATGTAGCCTTGAGACCAATTTTGCTACAGCACCTTCCACGAATGTAGCTTTACAGCTTCTGAGTACAAGTTATCATTTGGCCGTTCAGCCCTAGAGACACTAGTAGCAAAGACTGTCCTAGATCCGG